TCTCATTGATAAGTTGAAATGTGAAGAAGTCAGAGTCCATCTTGAAGAATGCTGGGAAACCTCCTTGATCACTTCCTAACCACGAACAATCCTCTCTTTCATTGGCGTCGGCTGGACATTGTAAGTTGTTGGTGATAGGTATTCGACTGCTTGGCATGTGTATGTGTGTGTGCGCATGTGTCTGCTGACTGATAGCTCGCTGGTTACGGATTCCTGAGTCTCACAGTGAATACCGGTGAGTCCTCTGCAGTCACAGCTCGCCTAACTGCTTTACCCCAGAGAGAGATTCCTTTTTCTCTCTGTTTTTCTTTCCTCGTCCATCTCCTTCTCTGCCGCCTGTTTACCTGCTTCTCTTTCCATTTTTGTACCATACATTTACATAGATACATACTGACACTTATATATTTACTGTACACTGAAGCTGAATTTTTTTTAACAGAATAGTAGAGTCAGTGAGCAGGTAGTGCTAAATATGTACTTTTGGACAAATATACATGCTTTTGACTGAATGACCATGTGCACCTCAATTATATCTTTCTCACAGTGTCATCTAAATCTATTGACTCTTACTTGTTGCCTTCATTTCTCTGTTGGTATTTGTTAGATATCTCTTGCTTTACAGTTGCACATTGCAAGTCTTTAGATTACTTGATTATTTTTGAACAATCCAGGTAAGATAGAGAAATATTTTATTCGACTGTGAAAAGGATACGGTATGTACGGTATTAGGGGATTGTTGAGCAAAGAGATACTTGAGCTTGATTGATACTGAAGCTTTGAGGACTCCAGAACAGAGCTACACAACCCACTAAGTCTTCACATAAAAATCAAAAATTCTTCCAACAATACAGTCGTGACTTGATAATTCGACCCTTAACAATCCAAAAACCTTGCTATCCAACAGGTTTTTAGGAAAAACGAACAGAACCCTGAAAAATAGCCTTAACATACCGACAGCCTTGGAGTCCGACTCCATCATGACATCAGGATAACGGCATATTATCTGACTGAACAATCCGACAGATTGGCTACGTTCAGACTGTAGGACTTAATGCTTAATTCAGATTTTTTGGGGGGAAATCCGATTTTTTTGTGAGTTCATTCACATTTCCAATTTAATGCAAGTTGTCTGTGATCTGCTGTGAGAACTTCATACGACCTAAAAGTGTCCTGCATGCTCAGAAGAGGACACGACGACGTCACACGCCGGGATTGGCTCAGTGTTTACGGAAGTAAATACGGATGGTGGCGGTTGGTGGCGATGGTGATGGTGGCGGCGGTGGCGGTGGCGGTGGCGGTGGTGGCGGCAGCGGCGACGCCACCGACAATGGAACAGAACTGTGACCGCTATCCTAAACTAGCATCAGCAACCAAGTACTGTCTGCACGTTCCGGCCCCCCTGACCACGCCGAATACTCGGATATTCATCATTAATTGGGCCTGAATATCCAGAGACCAGACCAGAGTGCTATTTGGACCAGCCCTACTAGTTATTGTAACACCTATGAACAATAGTTAACAACAAATATCCTTTAAGCACCAAGCCCTCCTTGTATCTCGACCTCCGTCTTGACAATCCGACAGCCTTGCTATCCGACATAAAAGAAGGTTTTACATTTAGTGTCGGATTATCGAGTCACGACTATATATCAATTTTCATAAGTTAGGTAAAATATTATGACCACCCATAGATGAAGCAGCTAATGCTGATCATTTTATAACAATACTGCATGTCTACTTATAGAATAAATTAGATAGTAAGTGAATATTGTCATCGTCAATATGTTGGATGTGGGAGAAATGTACATGTGTTTAGAGCAGAGCAACTTTAACCAGGGCTGAGTGGCCATTAACAGATGACTGTGTTGGAACATCTCTGAAATGGAAAAACTTGTGGGCTGCTTCAGGCCAGCAGAGGTGACCGCCTACTGAGAGTGGTCCAGTGTTGAAGGATGTGCTTGAACTCACTAGATTCAAAGGAACATCTTGGTGCTGTATACAACTCAGAGATCTTGGAGAATCTGTCCCCAAGCGGGTCAGTTTTGGTGACATGTGAGTGCCACATTAGGCAGGGCTACATTCATTGCATTTATTAATAACCATCAACAGAAATATATCAACAATATACTCAACATCAGTTCCTTTTAACGGGAGAGCAACCTGCCACCATCCCAGTTTTCTTTCTTTCACTCTGCCTTTGTCAAGTGCAGTACACTCTTATAGTTATTCCTTGAGCAAACGAGCTTTCTCTACTTTTCTGAGGACATCAGAATGAGACGTTCTTCCTTTGTCCAGTGTGCATGGGTTCAGAATGCTGGGACTTCATACATTTTAATTTGTTGTGTCTGGTTGTGAGATTGGATGTCAAGATGTGACCAAGCTGATAGCTGGGTGTCGTCTCTCCCCGGAAAAGTCCTCGCGTTCCCTCCTTATTATCATTTCCTTCATGTTTCTTCTTACAGTTTGGGAAATAAAAATTTATAATGAATATCCTACACATAATTTTTTATGTCGTGTACCAATTAATATGTGCGCAAATAGATTTACGTTCCATATTTTGCGTCCCAGCTGTGATGAAAGTAAGATTGCATGTCATCTCTGCCTCTCTCTCCTTGTCCTTCAAGGGTCGTATATCTGACGCTTTCATTTCTCTGACCTTTTCATGCCTGTTATAAACTGCAATTGCTTATTCGTCAGTGCTTCCATCTAGAAGGGCAGAGCGGTAATGGCACCCTGTTAAATCTTGATATGAGATTGTGAATGGAGAAGAAACTCCTCTTTGCCTTTGTGTGATGCTCAGACATCAGAGTCCTGCTGAAAGACCTTTTTGCCTGTTCCTTATATTATCAGCCCTTAGATGTGGCCTAAAATTACCCCTGATAGCCAGCCACATGTTTGTTATTTCATGTGTGGATCCAGTGTTCCTCTTGGCAGTTTGTGTAAACTGAATGTGAACTTAACCATATGGTTTACATTACTCAAAACTGTGCCCCCTGTTGTTTTTAGATGAAATACAGTCGACGGAACATATTAGGCAGTTGGCTTTTCGTCCAAGATATTTACCTGAACTAAGTGTGTCTCACATATAGCCGTCTCTGTCTCTGTAGTTCCACTTTAATTGGAGCCATGTGACTCCTGGGTAATAGGTTGTGCCTGACCATCCACACATGAATGGAGGTTTTCAGGACACTCTCTGGCTTTGTCTGCCAAATAGCAGGCTGACTTGGATTGCTTTTGTGGATGCTTCACTGGACCAGTCTCCTTCAGGCTTAAAACCCATCTATCTACACAAATCAAATAGTCTGTAACATCTCGCGTGCTGGACAGCCAATCCTTTGATTGTAGTGCTTTTAAAAAGAACACTATCATCACCTTTGTTTCTTACATGCTGCAGTCTTTGCCTTCAGCTCATCAGAAAGACAACAGTTTTTGGCTTTTGGGGCTTTACTTGGATTTCTTTAACAGGGTCTGCCTCACGAATTTTGGTTGCAAACAAGAAAACGCCCAGTTTGCAGTGGCAGAAGCTCTTCTCAGGTATTACAACCACCATGTCACACACTATGCATTTCAAGTTGCATATCCATAGATGGCACTGTGCATCAAGCAGCAGTGGTTTAAGGATTTGGTCCCTCTGATTCAAAGGAATTCTTTGAGGTGGGAGTGACTGGTTATCAAATGTGGTAATAGGAAATAGCAGTCTCTGCTTTCCCATCTATTCTTTGTTATGACGGGGGTTACGCATACAGTCATCTGATAACAGGAGTCTGGAGGAGGGTAAGGTTTAGATTGGGTTACAGTAGGTCAAGGCTGAGTAGTATAGAAGAGTGATGCAAGGGAGGGCCTCCTGTTGTTATTTTTTATAGATTTATGGATCTATATTATGCAGTTACCTCCTGTTTTTCGATTTTTTTTTTTCCTCCAGTTTAATTTTTGCTCTTTCGTCTGGACTCTGGAATTTGTGTCCTTTCTACACAGGAAAATGTGGGCTTCAAGTAGAGAACTTCAAAATGTACACAGCTAACTGCTTGGGAGATGTTTTGTTTCATGGCTCAGTGTTTAGACTAGTGTCTTTACTGAATCTCACACATGTATAAACAGTTATACTGCCACTTTTAGGAAAGATTAGTGGGTCTTTGCTACTACTCCATGAAATCACCTTAGTTTCTGTCTCTGTCGAGCTGATTTAAAGACAGTTTTTACAGAATATGTAATAGACAACAGGGGCAAATCTTTTTTGCACACTCACACAGAAATGTTGCAAAAAGAGCTGTGGCTCTAAGGGAGCGAGTGTGTCATTGCTTTGTCATAAAGTTTGGCATTGTGAGCAAGCACTGTGTGTGTGTAGCTGTGGGATTTTCTAATACTGTCATGGTGTGAGCAGAGGGAACAGAGCAGCTCGCCGACCTCTTCACCAAACACAAAGGCGTTCCTCAGAGGACTGTAACACTGTCCCAGATACATCATCTGACTTACAGCAGGACACGTGGACCTTAATCTATCCATAAGATGCAACCGTTGTTGCAGTAATAGAACGACATACTTTCACGTGGAAGCAGACAGATAGTGCAACTTGCAGGAAAACTCTTTGGGCAGTTTTCTTGTGTGTTTGAGCACTCATTTTTAGTTCACTAAATGGCTAATTGTTGTGGTTTCCTGCTGTAGTTTACGTTCCCAGAGCCAGCTAACAGTGTTTTACTGGGAGTCTCCAGCCATGCAGACAATATTCTTGGTTGTCAGACAGACCAGAGCTGCTATCAACGCAGGGAGCTGTCTGAGAGTGTGTGAGTGAGTTTTATGTGAGCTACGGAGTGCAGCCAAGCCTGTCCAACTAAGACACCACTGCCTCTCATCTCTAGTCCCATCTGGAACATATTAATCCTGTGAGAACTCTCTCTCTCTGTTTCCCTCGTTCTCTCCTCTTTAGCATTTCTTTCTGTCGCTCTCTCCGTCGGACGCGCTCCCTCTCTCATTCTCCCCGTGTCTTCTGTTTGTGCTGGCAGGTCCAATCAGGAAGCCCAAGTATGTAGAGAGTCCTCGCGTTCCTTCTGATGCCATCGTGTCAGCGCTGAGGAAGGTGGCCGACAACAAGGAGCCCTCCCGCAATGGTGAGTTGTGGTTGTGGTTCGTTTTTTTTGTATCTGACTGCTATTGTTTTCGAAAAAGTACTTAAAAACAGCCCTCAGATGAAGAAAAATAAAAAAAATCTTGTCAGCTGTAGTCCACATTATTCTACATGGGTTTAGGAATAGGGCTTTGTCATTTAAGTGTCGCATCAGTTCCTGCATTAGTCATTGAAAGTGTGTTTGAGACCTCTTTGTTAACGTAGTCCCTTATGCAAACACACAATAGTGCATGTTTACTTTAAAGAGGAGTCAGTTTTCCACCATTGAGATCTGCTGTCTGATTGAAGCACTTAATTTCTTTCATGGGAAAAACCTGTAATTTGTCAGGAACTATACTTGTGTTATTCCATTCTGCGAGGTGTGCCTTTAGCGGTGTTGCTGCCTGTCTTGTGTTGTGTTTGCGTGTGTGTGTGTGTTCCAAAAAGTGCTCTGTTTTGATTTCCAGCAGAGCAGGGCGGGCTCAAATTCCTCGCACAGTGTTAAGTGGAGATGTAGGTTGTGTTATCTTTAGCGAAAGGCAATACAGAAAGAGTGCCCTGTGATTGTATATGGCTTACATACGTCGACATTAGTAACCCCGTGCTGCTCAGTCGCTGTTGACTGTGACATACCGAGGCACGTGGGTGTGTCTGACATTCAATTGGCACGGAGCTCAGAGCAGGCTGCCGGCAAACAGTGGACACCAGATAAACGTTATCTCATCACAGTCGGTTTTAAGCACTGAGAGAACATGTGCAGTTGGAGAAGTCATGAAAACACAGTCTTAAATGCAAATCTGCTGTATGTTTCTCAGCCGACACCCCCATCCCCCTTTACACGGTCCCGCAACACCTTTCTACTAGTCCCCCTGCCTTCTTCCTCTCTGCAGACCTGAAACCCCCCTTGAAGCATACATTTTCATGCCCCCGCTGTCTTAAAAACTGTCTCATTTAGTCTTAATGCTCAAGGGGAGTTGATGTTAAAAGAAATAACTGTTTGTGTTTACAGAAAGGCCCTGTGTGTTCGGTACTGCCTCTTCTCCAATTTCATGCTGGACTAAACTCACTTTTCGATACAACGTGGCTACAGTCGCTTTAGAAAGTCTTTTTTTTCCCGCACTATTGCTATAAATATAATTTTAAAAGGATAAATTGTGCATCAATCTGCACTCAATAAACCAATTATTGAAATGAGGAATTATTAAACATGTAAAATTTTGAACCTCTCGTTTCCGACTTGCAGCTGTGGTGCTGCAAACTGTGGGCAGGTCCATCCTATTTGCTTTAATTGTTCTTGAGCTTGGTTGCAGTCTGCCTCTGGCAAATCAAATGAATGAGACATTTAGTAATGCACACACCTATCTGAATAAAGGTTTCACATTTCACTTCAGGTCAGGATGAAAACCAGCCATGTAGTCTAAGGAAGCTGCTTTAGACCACTGTGATAAAATTTTGGTGACGCATAAATCAGGACAAGGGTATATAACCACCTCTAAATGCTTCTAGATAATTGTGAAACTAAAGAAGTTTATCAGTACGACAATGACCCACCTGGTGAGGCCCAACCAAAACCCAGACTTCAACTCTATACGTTTGTAGAGAGACCTGCAGTTCACAGATGCTTCCCATCCAGTCTAATAAACTGCCTAAATCTGGGTGCGTAAAACTTTAGAGACTTGATCAAGAAGACCTCATATTCTATTTACTGCAAAGGTGCTTCTACAAAGAACTAGAGGCGATACGGTGCATGCATTCATCCCAAAGCTTTGCATCGTTCAGCTCTATATAAAGCAGTTACTCTCAGACGTGAAGGTGGATCATTCCGACTGCAACGTTCTGGCAGCGCAGCACTTGTCGTCCATTAGCTGTGTGCGAGCATAGTAAGCCTTCGAAGCTGGGCTGACACCGTGCAAGTTTTATAAAACATGCACAATGTGGTAATTCACACTATACATTTTAAGTGGCCTTCCAGCACGGTCGGCCAGAACCTGTGACTTCTCTGCTCACACGGCACAGGCCAACCGACCGGGCACCATGCGGAGCTCGCATTGAATGTAAAGCAGCAAGCCCCCGCATGCTTTGTCCACCGACTATTCAGATGAAGTGTTTCCAAACAAGATGACTTTTAGGTTGACAAAGTAGAGAAAGGCAGCATTCATTTTTGCAATTTGTAAAGCTAAAGCTGCACCTAATGCCGGCTTTGTTGCTTCACTTAAGGTAATTCTGAACATGCTTCACCTATCTCAATGGACATTTTGTGTTTGGTTTATTTCGTACTAGAGAGTCAACAGTTCAGAGCTTTTAGTTTTTTTTACAGTTCACCGTATTTGAGTGCTTTAACTGTTACAATTCTACCCAGGTTCAATCCATTTTCATGCTGATTTCTGCATTTCTTTTGTTGCCTGTGCTGCAGCAATAACATACAAAACTGCGATTTCAAAGCTGAGGTAGACCCTGATCTGTGGATTTTGTGCACAGTTACTCTGCTGCTAAGTACTTAATGAAGGGTCTGAATACATTTGTAAATGAGAGATTTCAGTTTGAGGTTTTTAATGAATTTGCACGAATTTCTAAAAGCACGTCATTATGGACTATTAAGTGTAGAGCAATGGGAAATAATATTAATTTGATCTGTTTCAAATTAAATCTAAAGTGAGGGGGTCTGAATACTTTTTGAAGCGACTGCAACTGTCTCACATCTATGTGACAAATCCACTGACCGAGCCTGCAGACAGTCTTTTTGGCACCTCACAAAATGTGTAGAACCCTCCAGCTGCTTCAGTGTTAAAGACAAGGAATGCACAAAAATCAAGCTACGACTATAAATTGAATTTTGCCTTTTGTTGTTACTCGTCGTTGCTCCCAATGATAGAGATCTGGTGAATTTCTGACAAATATGAAATGACATTCCTGTCTCTAGGACAGTACGCTGCCTAATTGAGTACATTTACATCGCCCACAACTGTTGAAATGAGAGCAAAAGTCTTTCTCCGTGTAAAGCTCCAGGCATTTAAGGCATTCGAGTTTGATTCTGTTCGCTGGGAGTGACTTCTACATGTTCTCAAATATTGACTCAGCCTTCAAAGAACTGAAGAAATAACCAATCTGTTTTTAAGGTCAGACAGCTGCTTACTTTTGCCCTTTATCGCTGCTGAGTACCGTTATTCAATAAATGCAGTAGGCAAGGGAGCAGAAAGTTTCTACTTCTATTTTCTCATAGCCGTAGTTAGCAAGCAAAAGAAGTTTACTGCTGAGAAATTGCAGGAATGAGCCAACTTGCTCGAGTAATTATGTACAATTAGGCACTGTATAAATTCTAGACTAATGACGGCTAATTGTGATAGCCCAGCTGTAGTAGAATGTTGCCCTACGCACCGCTGACAGGCTTTTTAGCAGCTCACGCTTGCTTCCATGTCGACAGCTTCACAGGGTTTTAATATTATTTTAAGCTCACCCTACAGTGGAAGCTAGTGCGTGAGTTTGGTGTAGGGCTGTTACAGCAACAGATTTCTCTTCTAGTAACGCGCAGCACATGTGACAAGGACATACTCTGTATTATTTTGTCGATAAGCAGAGAATCTGTCAACTTGTGTTGTCTCCTAGCTCAGGCGGGGTAAACTAGACAGGATGAGATGGTTGTTTTACACTGCAGGATTTGTAACAAGGTCAGCGTCAGCATAGAATGTTGATCGAGCGTCTGAGTGTATTCGAGTTAGAAAATCCATCGGAAGTTTTGCAGCGTGAGAACTGCGTGACATTTAGGGCACAAATCAAGTGAGTTGTTACAAGCTGTGAAGAGGTATTTGCTTGTTTGTGCGCCGAAGGATGCATCTCTTGAATGTGATGAGATGTGCTACATCCATAGTCAGAAACAAATCTGCCGAGCGAAGCTGGGACTATTTGTGGGATTTTAGACCCTGATTTGTAATTTTTGTTAGCGTTTGTGTGATTTCTTTCGTATATGTACTACGATTTTTTGGGTTGGACTGTCGGCTTTTTAGTACTCTGTGTTGTGGACAAGCAAAATGGCCCGTAGGCTAAGAAAGGAAACATGCTTTTGACTTACAGTAGAGTCGTTTCACATGGCAGTGTCTTTGAGGAAGGATTGAGTTTCTTGTGCCTGTGTGTAAAATGCAGTGTGTATTTTTATTTTGCCTATGTGCCCGCAGGAGCCTTTATCTTTGTTTATGCATGTGTGTGTTGGCGTGCGTGAGTGTGTTTGCGACAGGCGGCCAGCAGTCTGGTCAACAAAATTGTTTCAGCTGTGGTCTTAGAGTCCTGTCTCTGTCAATCAAGACTGAACCACAGGTCTTGTCCTCTGCCACAATTATGTCTCTTTTCAAATCCCCCATCTGACCGTGAGACCTGGGCCCAAACACTTAACACCTGTTTCTTCATGTTTTAATTATCTTGTCAATGCTGGAACTTTGTCAGACCTGCATTGTTAACATGCTGGGATTTGAAACTATTTAAATAGTTTGCTATTACTTTTGCTTTCCTATGATGAGTATGCGTGTAGTTATGTGACCATACCAGGTTATTTTTTGTACAATGCGTGTTAACACCTTGTGCTGTTTATGCCATTTTAATATTCTTACCTTAAATTAGGAAACAGTGGAAGGATTTGTTTCTAAATGTAGGTGTCTTCAGTTGTTACACATCATTTTTGGAACAACATAGGATTATAAAGTGCCAGACATGACAGCACACAGGGCGTCACTAACTCAATCTCGTATCGTCCCAGGTTGTGTGTGTGAATTAGGTAAATGTGCCGCGATCTTCATCCGATTTTCTGATATCTAAAACATATCTCGACAGTAATCTGATGCAAGATCTTACAGACGCAGCAGGAGTCATGCATGCAGCTGGCGGGCTGCGTGCAAGGAATGTTTCTGCAAATGTAGGAAACCATGGTATCACCGGTGAGCTCTTTCTACACCTCATTGACGGCTACAGCAAAGGCCAGAAGATTTATTTTAGATTATCTGTCCCATTTTGTGAATG